TTGAGGAATGTTAAAAAAATTGTTGGTTCATCTCCCTCCTTAATTTTGATTGAGAATATTTTTGTTCTATATTGAGAATGAATGAAGAAGAATCATAGGTACCCAAAAATTCTTATAAGTGGTGTATATATTTTAAGGAATGAAGAGGAATTAAATGTCCCTTTTTATTCTTTTCCCTTTTAATAGTCATCAGTTACTTTAAACGATAATTTTTATGCAACGGAGAGAGTATTATAATAAGTTTTCAAAAACAATGAGATCCATCCCTTTATATTTAGTTCTTCCATTTGTAACCAATGAACTACAATTAAAGCGTTAAAAAACAAAGGTGACACTGAACTTACTAGAAATAGGAGAAAAGAAGAAAGTCTCTAGGCTTAGACATGCTACAAATCCGTTGTCCACTATTTTCCTTATAGTATCATTCTCTTGTCTCCTTGATTTCCATCACCATTTTCTTCCAGTCCTGAAACCAATTTTTGTTTTGTTTATCTATTTGAAAAATGCCAGAGACGGAATATCAAGGATCGTTTGGAAGGTCATTATTGAGTTTGCGGCGGGACCAGGTGCACGTAATGGACCCAACGGCAGTACCCGAGCCTATGAGCATGGAGGTGGAGTTGGACTCTTTTCAAAGACAAGTTGCTGAAAAGTTTATCGATCTCAACGCTTACGCAGCTGATGATGAACCCCTTTCACTTGAATGGATAGGAAAACTTGTAGATTCCTTTCTTTGTTGTCAAGAAGAATTTCGAGTTATAATATTCAACCACAAGCATCAGCTCCACAAGCATCCAATGGACCGTCTCATAGAAAATTACTTCGAGAGGAGCGTCAAGGCTCTTGACGTATGCAATGCGATCCGTGATGGGATCGAGCAAATCCGACAGTGGCAGAAATTGATTGAAATCGTTATATCCGCTTTGGACAATAGTGACGCAAGCAAAACACAACTTGGCGAAGGAGAAATCAACCGTGCAAAGAAAGCTTTGATTGATTTGGCCATCGGAATGATAGACGAGAAAGACTCTTCTAACACATTGGCACACCGTAACCGTTCTTTCACTCGAAATAAAGACCATAATTCAATTGGGTATATCAGATCCCTTTCATGGAGCGTTTCTAGATCGTGGTCAGCTGCAAGACAGTTACAAGGCATAGGACATAACTTGGCCGCACCTCGATCAAGCAATGTCATTGCAACTAATGGCCTAGCTCTAACGGTCTACACGATGACATCAATATTACTATTTGTAATGTGGGTTCTTGTCGCGGCCATACCTTGCCAAGACCGTGGTTTACAAGTACATTTTTATTTTCCAAGGCATTTTCAATGGGCTGTACCAGTGATGTCCCTTCATGACAAGATCATGGAAGAATCAAAGAAAAGGGACAAAAAGAACGCTTGTGGACTACTTAGAGAAATTAATCAAATCGAGAGAAGCTCGAGAATGTTAAGTGAATTCATTGATTCAGATAATTTCTCATTAACAGATGAAAAAGGGACAGAGATGAAGCAAAGAGTGCAAGAATTGATGGAGGTTTGTGAAGCTGTGAAAGAAGGTTTGGATCCTTTTGAAAAGAAAGTGAGGGATGTCTTTCACCGCATTGTCCATAGCCGCACTGAGGCTCTTGATTCTCTTGGAAACGTTCATAATCAATAGTGAACCTATCCGAAATTTTGAAATATGTTTTTCATTTGCGTTATTACTTTTTAGTTTTCTGA